AAACATATTATCAAAAGAAAGCAAAAAAAAAAAAAAAATCGACAATTAAAACTACCATTGCTAGCGTCAATTGTGACTTCAGGTAGACCAATGTACGAAAATATTATCAAATACTAACTAGCTGGATAATAGTGATGGTCATCGCTCGTGTCCATGGCATGACCAATGTTCCAGGCTGAGGAACTCGTCGAGTATGTTCTCTTCGTTAGACTTCCGATTTATTTATCGTACTTACATATTTTTTCTAGGTTTTCCTCTGGCGTCAAGGGCATGTGCATGAACTTGGAAGCCGGCCAAGTCGGTGTTGTGCTTTTCGGTTCCGATCGTCTCGTCAAAGAAGGCGAGACTGTGAAGCGAACTGGCGAGATTGTACGTGTTCATTATATTAACAAAAAAGAAAAGAAAAGAAAAATACCATTACCAGAAATAATTCTTTTGGTCATCAGACTGGGTATTCTACATATCTAACTCTCCGCTACTCAGGTTGATGTCCCTGTTGGCCCTGAACTTCTTGGCCGTGTCGTTGATGCTCTGGGTAACCCCATTGACGGAAAGGGACCAATCAAGACCAGCGAGAAGCGACGTGCCCAGCTCAAGGCTCCTGGCATTCTGCCTCGCCGCTCCGTCAACCAGCCTGTACAGACCGGTCTTAAGTCTGTCGATTCTATGGTGCCCATTGGACGTGGCCAGCGTGAGTTGATCATTGGTGACCGTCAGACCGGAAAGACTGCCGTCGCCCTCGATGCAATGCTTAACCAGAAGAGATGGAATGACACTGGTGATGAGACCAAGAAGCTGTACTGTGTTTACGTCGCTGTTGGACAGAAACGTTCCACCGTCGCTCAGCTCGTCAAGACTCTTGAGGAGAACGATGCGATGAAGTATTCTATCATCGTTGCCGCCACTGCCTCTGAGGCAGCTCCTCTTCAATACATTGCTCCCTTCACTGGTTGTGCCATGGGTGAGTGGTTCCGTGACAATGGACGCCATGCTCTCATCATCTATGACGATCTTTCCAAGCAAGCCGTTGCCTACCGTCAAATGTCCCTGCTACTCCGTCGTCCCCCCGGTCGTGAGGCTTATCCCGGAGAGTATGTTACGAGTCATGAACGCCGCCCTTCTCTCTTCTATGTCTGTCCAATAGTTATCTAACGTGGATATTCCTAGTGTTTTCTACCTCCACTCCCGTCTGCTCGAGCGCGCCGCGAAACTGAACGACAAGCACAAGGGCGGCTCCCTCACTGCCCTCCCCGTTATCGAGACCCAAGGTGGTGACGTTTCTGCCTATATCCCCACCAACGTCATCTCCATCACAGATGGCCAAATCTTCTTGGAAGCCGAATTGTTCTACAAAGGTATTCGCCCCGCCATTAACGTCGGTCTCTCCGTGTCCCGCGTCGGTTCCGCCGCCCAGCTCAAGGCCATGAAGCAAGTCGCTGGTTCCCTCAAGCTCTTCTTGGCCCAATACCGTGAAGTTGCCGCCTTCGCCCAGTTCGGTTCCGACCTTGACGCGTCCACCAAGCAGACTCTTAACCGCGGTGAGCGTCTGACTGAGCTGTTGAAGCAGAAGCAGTACCAGCCCATGGCAGTTAATGAGATGGTGCCGCTTATCTATGCCGGTGTCAATGGCCATCTGGATTCGATCCCTGTCGCAAAGATCTTGCAGTGGGAGAGCGATTTCCTGGCCCATCTTAAGTCCAATGAGCCGGAGGTTCTGGAGAAGATTGAGAAGGAGGGACAGTTGAGCAAGGACCTCGAGGCGCAGTTGAAGGATGTTATTGTTGCGTTCAATAAGAGCTTCTCTGCATAGGTTGGCGTTGGCGCGTCGAACGAATTGCAATGTTGAAAAGGGGGAAGTGAAGAAGAGGGCGGGGAAAGAGTAAAAAGACTTTTTGGAAGTGAACGTGTGTTTTGTTTGTGTGAGGTGAAGGGAAACTCAACATGATCTTTACTTTTCCTTTTATTTTTTTTTATTTTATTCTTGCTCTTCGTTTTCACACCCTGACTGCCTCCCCTTTCGTCAATCCCTCCCTCCCAACCCAACACTCGTCCCAAAAAACAGTGCTTTCTCTTTTATCTTCCTTGCCTTTTTCTTTTCCGTTTAGCTTACTCTGCCACAAGTACTATGTATAGACAAGAAATAGCTCCCGTGTACAATTTTGAAACCAAGTTTTATTTTTCTTTTCCTATTTCATCATTTTTTTTCTCTCTCTCTCAGTTACGACGGAAAAGGAAGTATCCAATGGGTGAAAAACAAATGATTATCGTGTCCCAAAGTGGAACTCTCTCAATAGTTGAAAAACATTTTCCTTGTGTTCTCTTTGTTCAAATTCATACTCCCCGCTTTTCCGTTTGTCCTTTCTTCTTCATCTTTAAGCTGTCCCTTTATCTCCAACACCCTCTTTATGCTCTCCTCAACGTTTCATTACTGTCCAACGTACCTCTACTCCGTGTGTGTCTAATTGGGCTTGTCCACTCCGTGTAGTATGGCTTTCGATTGCCAAAAGAGGCTAGAATAGATGAAAGAGAGGGGTTTAAATATACAGGTATATCTATCTGTGTGCCAGGAATGTGAAACTTTTTGCCCATGTAGCATCTGTAAATGCGATGTAGAGGTATCCGAATATGCTCCATTAAATTATTTGGCTGCTGAGAGGGAGTTGATAGGTTCCATGTATGCACCGTACTGCCGTACTGCATGTAGGCCCGTCTGCGCGGATGGTGGGAATCATGGCGTTATCAGAGTGGGATTGGGCGGGATGATTGGTTCATATATAGCCCCCGAAAGCCCTGTATAAAATCAATTAGGAGGCACTTTGGGACCTGGTGTTTGCTGTTTGCGATTTCTGACTTGGTGTGGTGTTTGACCGGAGGGGTTTACAGGGAGATGTGGATGTGTGTGTGTATCTATCCATTTTACCACCTGGTAGCTCAAATCTACGGTTGCTCAAACCTCACAACTATACATATTGATAGATACTTATCACGGCCTCTTTTCAGTAAAGCAAAGTCTATTTGAATTCCTTATATATTCTCTCAATTGAACTTGTATCATTTCCAGTCGCCAAAGATGATTCCTCAACCCCTCCAACCCTGGCTATCGATAAGCCCGCCCGCCAAACCTTGAACCGCGCCAGAACCAAAGAAAAAAAAAAAAAGAAGAAGAAATTCAACAGTTTATACCCTCTTCTAAACCCCAATTCCTCCGTTCCGCACACACCTCACCCTTCTATACACATTCACACAACAGCAGCTGACCATACCATGGCATCAGATCCACCAGTTCCGGCTTCGTGCAAAGTTGTGCTGGCGGCAACTGTTGCCCGTGGTCTGCTGTCGGAGGTAAATGAGGGGCGCCAGACGCTGAGTAGAGCGCCGTACCTCGTGGGGTTTTTGGCCAATTCGGACCCGGCTGCGAAGATGTATGCGGATTGGACGGAGAAGACGTGTATAGAAAAGTGAGGGCATTCCTTTTCATTTTGGAGTTTGCAGTTTGTGTTGTTTTTTTCTTCTTTTCCTTTTTGTAGTTATGCATTTGCGCATATTTGGGAGTACGCGCGCCTGAGTGCTAGTCACCCCCACCCAGCTACTTCATTGAGCTATGGGAAATCCGCTTCAAAGCCTCAATTGATCCTCAAATGCCTATTTACAAAATCTTCCGTTAACCGCTATATCAAACTGATAACAGTAACTTCCGCTACACCCTCCGCACCGTCACGCGCGACGACATCGAAGACGCCATCCTCGCCGCCAATGCCGACCAAGACATCGACGGCATAATCGTCTACTACCCCATCTTCAACAACCGCCAGGACCAATATCTGCAGCAAATCGTAGACATCTCCAAGGACGTCGAGGGCCTCAGCCACCGCTACATCTTCAACATGTACCAGAACATTCGCTTCCTGGACCCACCGCGCAACGAGCAGAAGTCGATATTGCCCTGCACGCCGCTAGCGGTCATTAAGATACTTGAGTACCTGCAGATATACAATACGATATTGCCGTATGGGAATAGGCTGTTTGGACATACGGTGTGCGTGGTGAATCGGTCGGAGGTGGTGGGGAGGCCGCTGGCGGCGCTTTTGGCGAATGATGGGGCCTGTGTGTATAGTGTGGATATCACCGGTGTGCAGCAGTTTACGCGCGGGGAGGGTATTAGGAAGAGGCATCATGAGGTTATGGAGATGGAGGGGTGGGGGTTGGAGGATGCGGTTCCGCATTGTGATGTGGTTATTAGTGGTGTGCCGGGGGACCAGTTTAAGTTTGATACAAAGCTGTTGAGGCAGGGGGCTGTGTGCATTAATTTCTCGAGTGAGAAGGTATGTGCTACGTGCAGAGGTTGGGGGGAGGAGGGCCCCGCGACGATGATTCTGTCCTTTTTGTATGGATATACTAATGAGGAGGGTTTCTTCCGCAGAATTTCGGACCGGAGGTGAAGGAGAAAGCATCCATATATGTTCCGGCCATTGGCAAGGTTACAATCGTTGTGCTATTGAGAAATCTGCTGGTAAGTACTCTGCATGTAATTCATGTTAAGCCCGTTACTCCTAGTTACCTCACATTGAGTTATCCTCTTTAGTTATCCTATGCTGACTGGTCAACTTGCAACAGAGGATCGTCCAGAACCGGAGTCACAACCAAGTTCACCCCGCAGACGCCATCGAAAAGCCCGGTACGCTGGAGGGCGTCGTCACGCTAGCGGAATAAGGGAAAGGGCTTTATCTTTTGCCAACTTGTTGTGTATTTACATATCTATATAATTTTTTTTCGTCGGCAGATGTCCGGCGATAAGAGGGAAAACTTGATTGGGCAAACGGGGAAGAAAAGGGTCGGGGAATTGCATATTGGAAAAAGGGAGAAAGAGAAAAGTGAAAATGAATGAAACAAATAGTCTCACGATATCCCTGATGTCATTTTTGCAATTGTAGTGGGCAGTGTATTTTAAATGGGAGCTTTTCATTCTTATACACATGATGCCGGTTAAAGGTTTGAGGGGCTTATGGTTACATTTACCTTTACTAGGAATAGACATTCTTCAGAAAATGAAGAAACCGAGATTTCACATATATTTAGGATGTCAAAGATCATCGCGTCCCCTGACTATCGACAAGAAAAAAGGTCCGGTTTGGGCAATACCGCGGACCTGAAGACAAATCTACTGGTGCCACAGAATCACTTAGACCAACGCAAAAAATGTCTTCGTAACTTTGGCAATGTAGGAATGTGTCATTGCCATTATATTAAACACTTATGATATTGCCTCTCTCATCATCCATATGCAGTACAATAGTTCATGGGTATGGGTGACTCAACACACACAAAAAAAGAGAATAAAAAAAAAAAAAATTCAACTCTTTCTGCATTCCCTTTTCCCCTGCATAGATTTTCAACATAAAGATCAATCGAACCAAACTCACAACCCTACTTTTTCCCCGTCTTAACTTTAGCTCCACCGGTCGAGTCCACCCCTTGTAAAGCCTTAACCTCACTCGTAAACCATTGTTTAAAGGGCTCAGGATGAAACGTGCCATCCGCAGAGAACCATTTCGAGAAGGGTGCGGACACAGATGCATTTTGAAGAACCGCACCGTTCTTCAACGTATGCTTAATATGGAGCGTGTACAAAGGCGAATGCTTTTTGGTCGATGAGCGTATTTGGATCTGTTGGATGTATTTAATTTAGCTCATTATCCTCCAACCGTACAACATCTTGAGCAAATGTAGCACAGCGTGGCATGAAGAAACAAATGATAATAATAATAATAATAATAATGGGGAACCTACCGACTCCCCATCTTCCTTACTCCCTTCAAACACCTGCCCAGCCTCCACTAGCCATATCCAGATCGTAAATGCGATATTGAGAAGGAAATACACCACGACGGCGGCCGTTGTCCACAAATGCGATATTTTCCAGCCCAGTTGACGGTCGAAGTAAAATGTGGTTCCGGATATGGTTACGGCGACATAGCCTAGGATTAGGCGCACGTTGGATTTGAAGTTGTCTGCAGCGAAGCGGTGCGGTTTTGGGAGGCCGGTTAGGTAGGGGGTTATAGCGTCGTCGGTGGCATTTTTGAGCTCTGTGACAATGAGATTGGGTGTTATTTTTTGGTATTCACTTTGCGCATTTATGTGGAAAGATAGGTGTAAGCGCATACCAGACACTGAGTAAACGGGGACCTTTGAGGAGGACATTGGTAGGGCGGTGTGCTCTAGTCTACAATAGTTGGATTGGAGAAGGTGAAGAGGAATTTATAGAGTCATGTTAGAACACTGATCATGTCCAAGGGATATGTGGCACTTTCCGTGAAGAATGGTTATTTTTATGTCTATGTAATAAATTCGATGAAGATAATATAGAGCTGGTGTTTGAAAGTTGACGTTGCAGCGAGTGTCCTCAGCGGGAGATGGATGACTAAAACAGCGAGAGATGTCGCCCAACACGGGATGACGCTAATCCACAAGCAACCTCCACGTCTCGCGACGGCTGATGGAGTATATCAACTTCATATCCAGTCGTTTTTGATATACTTCGAGTATATCCAACTTCATTGTATTTTACAATGGCGGTTCAGGGGGCGGAACAGACTATCCTTCGGGATCCAGCTCTGTTGTATGTAACCCCGACGTCCCTTCATTGTGGTCCCAGAAACTAATACGATCTCACTCGATAGCTACTGGATCCTCATTCCCATTACTGTGGTCATGGTACAGAATGCCCAAAAGCTCACGATTCCAAACAGACACTCCTTTATAAAAATCATGCGTCTAATAATAAGTCCTCCTTTGTCAGATATTGACCGGAATCCTGCGCCACTATGCAACCGTATTCCTAGCGACTCCGCCCAAACCACCCGCGACTCTCGCAGAGTCTCGAGAACGTCTGTCTCTCCTCCGCGGCATGAACCTCCGAAACAATGCCTCTGCTGTTCTTACCCCGTCAGCTCTCGCAGCTCGCAAGAACTTTCTTATCACAGCCTACAAGGAGGGCGCATTTTTAAAGGATCCGGATGCGAGAGGGGCAGGACCTGTGAACCCCATGACGGATCCTGCTGGCATGGATGCGATAATGGGCATGATGAAGGGGAATATGGCTATGATGATTCCCCAGACGCTGATCATGGGGTGGATTAATGCTTTCTTTTCTGGGTTTGTTATTTGTATGTTCGGCCTTCCCGATCCCCTTAACTCTGCTCTATCCATATTCCGAGTGATACGGAAGAGGGCAAGACAATCATTGACAATGCCATAGTGAAACTGCCATTCCCATTGACCATTCGGTTCAAATCGATGCTGCAATCCGGAGTCATGACCCAGGATCTGGACGTGAGATGGGTCTCAAGTCTGTCGTGGTATTTCTTGAACTTGTTTGGTTTGCAGCCTGTTTTTGGATTTATCTTGGGCAGCGATAACTGTGGGTTATTTCCACTTTTCTCTTCGTCTTTTCTTTCAAATAGTCGGACCTTTTGGCCAGTGGACTGTCTCTAACTCACATATATCCAACCCATTAGCTGCCAACCATATGACCCAACAGATGTCCCAGATGAACCCTAGTGCGACTGCGAATCCTTTTGGGCCTGGCCAAGACCCCGATAAGATGTTCCTGGCCGAGGCAGAGAATTTGGAAGTCATGGAGCACTATTGCATTCTGGACGGGATTGAAGAGAGGCTTCTGCAGAGAGTCGGGTAGCTTAAGATGATCCGATGATGTATTATATCACTAAATTACCATACAGCTTAGAGAAAAGGTATGGTGTGCCTGTTCTGTTAGCATTTGGGTTAGAAATATGCACAGTATTTCTTGCATGAGATACTTAAATTAAAACAAGGGCCTTAAAAATTTCTATTTGTGTCTGCGAATATGCAACCCCATTTAATAATGCCTCATGACTTGCAAAACCCATTCAAAACCCCCAAAAGTGAGTGAGTTCGGGAACTCTGACTCGGATATCCATACAGAAAGATATGTAAAATACGCATCATAACGATCGTAGCGACAACGATGCAAGCAGCACCATTCATTTCATCACATTATAATATCCTCCTGCATCAAATGTAGTTGACAACCCCTTTAAGAATCCAGACTTCTCCATTAGACGCCTGGGTCATAATCTTTTTAACCTCGATTTTGCTAGGATATATCTATATAGCCATTAGCCCAAAAAATAAAAAAAAATAAAAAATAAAAAAATAAAAGTAAAAACTGAACTGCCCCAAGATATAAAATAAAAAAGTGAGATACAGAAAAAAATTGGAGAAAACTCACATAAATCTTCCCATCATCTTCCTGCTTCCAATAGATACTACCACCTCCCACCGTCTTCACCTGCTTATTAGCCCGCCACGGGCTCTCTGGAACAATATGCGCTTCAACAAAACGCCGCAGGTTCCTCGCCGCCCTCCCCTCCCCTTGTTTCCCCGCATATGCTTCTTCTTCTCCGAAGTGTTTATAATCCGACGGATCCTCCCATGGTTTGCGGGGTAGTGCCTTAATCGCTGAATTCAGTGGAGCCAGGACGACGCTGTTACTCGTCCCGTTATTTAGCCGGGTCGATACGGACTCGATATCCCGCGTGAGAGAGGAGAATATGTTGACCTCGCGAGTCTTGGCGAGGATGTCAGAGATGCAAAGGGGCCCTTGCGCCTTTGCGTCCTGTTCTTTGCTCGGACTGTTCCCCATTATTGGCGTTTGTTGCAAAACTGATGGTGGGTATGAGCCTGGATCCGGCTCAATGCTGTTATTAGAGATATGGATGTTTTGGGGGAGAAGACGGCGGCGGAAGACAAGTCGCGACTTGAGGGATTCGGGGAGGAGGGCGGATACGCTCGAGGCGACGGAGAGAAGGATGAGATATTTGAAGAGTAAGGACTTCATGATGAGCAGCTTTTGTATGGCGTCTGCAGACTCTTAGGCGGGATGTATTATTTCTACATAACCGGTGCAGGTGGTGAAAGGGGATGATATCATCAAGCGATCAATCTTGGAAGTTTAAAAGCAGCCGTTGAAATTAAGAGTTAAGTGTCACGTGATACTTGTATCAACCAGGTGATTACGGTCTTATGATGGTATCCGTTCTGCAGTTGGGTTTTCTTTTTCGCTTTTTCTTTTTCTTTTTCTTTTTTTTTTTTCTTTTTTTGATTTATGCTGCTGGTTGGGTCGACAACCAAAGTCATTTAGGTCGTATAGTGGATTACACTCGGCAAGAATCTTCATAATGTACAAAAATCCTCGGCGAAACCGGGATCGGCGAATCTAGCACAAAACGGGTTAATACATTTCTTCTGCTTTATATATCCTTTGCTACTTTCTTAATAATACCAAGTAAGCATGTTGGCGCAGCGGAAGCGCGCCGGGCTCATAACCCGGAGGACCTTGGATCGAAACCAAGACATGCTAAAAAATTATAACTTTTAGCTATTTTTATTTATTACTTGTTTTTATCTTTAGTTTTTGACACTTTTCCTTTCTGTCTCCTAGCTACCAAATGTCATCGTCCTTGTATGATAGCACTTTACTATTTTCCTTCTATTTTGTCGTTATGAATTTTTTGTGTGGATGAAAGCCAATGATGAAAAAAGCAGCCGCACGTGACTGTTATCGATAACGGCGGGCATTTACCAGATCGAAAATCGCAAACACGACGACCATCATTCGTAACTGTTCAATTTCACCACGGTGGCCTCGCATTTCGCATATATAGGTTCTTACCGGCAAGATGTCCGAATTGCAAGATTTCTTGCTGGTGGTTGAGAATAACAGGGAGGAAGCTTTCCAGATTGCCGAGGCCACTGCCCTGAGTACGTTACAACTACGCAACATATAACTTTTGACCTGTAATGTGGAATACGGAGTGCTGACAGCCTAAATTTGCAGAGCTTGAGAACAAGCAGACTACCTTGATTGACGTGGTTCAATCCCTAGGGGAATATATCAATGATGAAAACCCTGCTATTCGGGGCAAGGCAATCTCCTACCTCACCGCTGTCATCAAAGCCCTCCCATTGAAATTCCTCTCGCGCCAACAAATACAGGTCTTAACTGAATTCTACTGTGATCGAATCGAGGATGGAGGTTCAATTGCGGGCCTGGATAGGCTCCAGAACCTTGAGCGTTTTAATAAAGATATGGCTGAGGGAGTTATGCGATCGTGAGTGCGTCAGTGGACGACCCATACATACACCCCTCCTGATACATATAACGGCTTTCTCCAAGAAGCTCGTTCACAACTGAACCGCCAATATAAATATTACGACTAAAGGAGTTCTGACATACCTCAAGGATTTCCCAACATTTCTCGGATCTACAGACTCGCTCTCAGTCACAAAGATTTCAGCTTTTTCAACTGCTGAATGGCTTGATGTCAAACCATCGACGAGGTCGGGCACCTACCCTGTAGTCGACCTTCTGTGATAGACGCTTACTCTATATATATAGCGCTGCGAGACATGGGTGATGAGTCACTGGTTGGAATTGTTGACCTTGTGAGCGGGGAGAGAGATCCAAGGAATCTCATGGTTATTTTCTCCATTCTCAAAGTTCTCATGGTGGAATGGGACATATCCAACCATGTTCAGGTAAGTCCATCTAAATGTACACACACACACACACACACAAACCCAAGGAAGTCGAACTTCAGATTGTGCTAATTTAACTTTGTGAAGTCCATTTTTGATTCGGTGTATAATTATTTTCCTATTACATTCAAACCTCCGCCAAATGATCCATACGGCATAACTGCGCAAGACCTGAAGACTCGTTTGCAAGACTGCATCTCGTCGACTGATTATTTTGCTCCTCATGTATTTCCTTCATTACTGGACAAATTAGACTCTACATCATTCAATGTAAAAGTATATGGGCCCCCTTTCGTGATATAAAAATTGACGTTCTCTGACAGCTGAATAGAAAGACTCTCTGAACGCGCTCTATGCATGTATATCTTCATATGATCCAGCCACACTGTCGCGCTACTCAGTAAGTATATGGGATTCTTTGAAATTTGAGATCCTTAATGCACAGGAGGAAGTCCTTGCAGACGAGTCATTGCGTGTACTTCAGTGCCTAGCTAAGCGATTATCAACTTCTGGGACGAACGCTCCAACTTTACCACTCGCCGGATATTTGAAACTAATTACGAGGGAGTGTAATGAACAATTACGCGAGCCACAGCAGAAACAAGCCCAACCAGCACGTCAGATCTTAAGATCGCTTTCATCTGCTTCGCTCTCATCCTTTAGTTTAATTATCCAGGATGTTGTCGAACCACTGATCAATATTTATAGAGACGCTGAAGGGATCGCTAAACAACGGGCGCTCCTTGAGGCTTTCGTTGTTCTACTTGATTCTGCTGTTGATGTTTTTGGAACATGGACAACCCCTGGATCAGATCCCGCGCCAGAGAATCCCCTCACCCCGTTTCAGGAGCTGTTAATTGAAATTTTCAGCCAGGCGCTAATGGGCTCAGCAAAGGATGAGATTTCATTCCGTCTTACCTCTTTGCGGGGTTTGCTTCGTCTGTCTTCGCTTCGGGGTTTCTTACAAGACAGCGAAATTGGCCTTTTCGTTCAGTATCTTGATGAAATTCTGATCACTGAAACAGCCATAAGAGCGGAATTGAGAAAGGAGGCAATAAACGCCCTGTCCGAAATTTCGAAGCAGAAGCCACAACTCATCATGGATATCGCCTTTCCTGCTTTCGTAGCTACACTCCCAGACTCCGACAAAGGCGCTGACCCCGTATATCTTATAACTCTCGAAAGTCTAGCCCAAATCAGTATAGAGAAGGATATATTTGAGATTCTCGTCCGCCGCCTTTTGAGAAAACTGGAAATTCTACTTCAGCCGGGAAATACGAGCACTTCTGCATACCCACGCGCCATCCTCTTGACGATACTTTACGCAATGGATCGAAAAGGGCTGGAAAATGACCCCCACATCAACTATTATTATGATAATATATTGGTCAAGTTGTGTCGAAGGGTAGCAACAGGAACTGTGGAAAGTAACACTACCAAAATACAAGACTCGACTGTTCTTGATGTTCTGGGACGGCTATGCAATCTCATTGTCCGGTCCCTTCCGCGCGAAAAGCAGCATGAAGTTTGTGAGAACGTATACTGTCTCTTTGCAGCACAAGACAGTTTTATTCCGATCCCATTTTCACACACCTCGACGAAACTCCAACTACAAACGATGATCCTCTCAACGTATCTCCTTGCTGGCCTCCCCATGGATTTAAAGCTCCCATATGCTACCCCGGACATGACCTCCCTTTTACAGGAACTGGTTCGCCATGCTATTGTTGAAGAAAACCTCGCAACCCATCTAGCACTAGCCCGCCATCTCTCACTCCTGGTTAATAAATTCCTACCAACAGCGCAATTATCAACGGCGTCCTCAATCCTTTCATCCCTGATCGAATCCGCAGCCACTTCCCCGGCCAAAGATACACTTATGCCACCAAAAATTCGTACAATCTTCTGGTTATCCAAGGCCCTGATCCTCCGCCTTGCACCGTCAACTACCGAAATTCTTACTTCTCTCTTGGCCCTCCTCACCTCCCCGGATGGTCAAACGAGCAGAACCGTGGCTCGGTGTTTCGCACTCCTCCTGAGCACTGATGACGTTCTCTCCCACGCAAACGGCGCTACAATCCGTCTCCTATGCAAACAGCGTGTTTTCTCCACTCTTGTTCCGCTAATTGCCAAAAAAGTTCGAGACCTCAACACCGCTACCTCCACTGCCGGCGGATCGACGACGGCCAATATCGCGCCTCACACAAAACAAGCCTACCTTACAGCCCTATCTGGCATACTCTCCACAATCCCCCCATCTCTCGTGTTGCCAGAGCTCCCCACACTCCTCCCGCTCCTCCTCCAAAGCCTGGATCTGACCGATGCAGAATCCCAGCCCATAAAGGCTGGCACGCTAGAAACACTTGCAGTAATAATCCGCGATAATGGAGTTCGCACAATCGCGGAAGTGGGCTACGTTGATGAATTAGTGAAACGGCTGCTGAAGACGGCCACGTACAGTAGCGCTGCAGCATCATCAACTCTTACGACTTCAGCTACTGATGCTATTACTACTGCAGCCACAACAAATACCAGTACTGCTCCAACACCTAACACCCCACATATCCGTGCACAATCACTCCAGTGCCTCCTGCTTCTCGCCCAGACGCCTGGTACAACTAACCCAGCCTCGCCAACAGAGAAAACTGCTACTTCCAAACCATCACCGCTGCTTCCATTGAAGAGTGCTGTGTTACGCACATTGAGGTTTGCCCTGGATGATCCAAAGCGGGATGTGCGGAAGGCGGCGGTGGATGCCAAGGCGGTATGGTTGAGAAGGGTGGAGGATGTGGAGGATGAAGAGGATTAGGGTGACAGAGGAAAGGGTTGGTTCATCTAGGTGTTTGGTGTGTATTATTATAGGGGGAACTGTATCTACAAGATATGCTCCATAAAGATTAAATAAAAAGTGGCAAGGAAGAAGAAGGAAAATGATAGGCGAAAAAAATACATTTTTTAATTGTTTATTTTTTCATTATTATTACAAAAAAGGGAGAGCTCGGCCATTTCCTCTATCCTTTTAGGCTATAAATATCTCGCATTTATTTTACAATATCTTTTTCTTGTTGTGATTCCAATATTTCCTTCTAGCCTAAGTTCCAGGAGAAAATATACAATTGTTTTATGGATAGAAAAATGTTTTGGTAATCCAGCTCCTTGTAGTCCATTTCTCTCCCATGTCTTTTTTAATTAGGTGAGAGAGAGCCCAGGTATCGTGCATAGAAGTGGTAGAGGAGAATGGTAACGGATCAAATAGTGACCCATCTTTATCTTTCACATATTATATTGGGTTCGCCGTTTGAATATTTCATATACAAATAAATGCATCTATGGAGTAGAGGTATCAATCCACAAATTTATTCTAAAGGGAAACTTGTCATTTCAATATTTATGCTCGAGCAATGTACCTAATTCTATATGAGTTTACCTTGCTTTGAAGGGCAGTGGAAAGCCGATTTAAGTTGACAATAGCTTAAGCTATAAATCATGAATTTTGGTTCCATTCTTGAGAATAAACATTACTACCAGAAACTCGCTTGCTTGAGCTTGCATCTCCTGAAAGAACTTGGAAAACGAATTATAAATTGGGAGTCCAAATCTCTGATCCTTGACGCCATCCTCTTCAACTGTGAATTTGCATAATAAACATCTGCTCCCCCATTATCTTCCTGCATAACCTTCCTAGGTATATTTTTAAAAGGAATAATGTCAATTAAAGAAATTAAACCCCTTTAAGAGCCATTTAACGAAGAAACCAACATCTACCAAAACTCGCTCTCGGTGACATCAGTTCTGGGAAGCCCATTCACAGCACTCGCACTCTCCATCTTATTCAAACTAGACAACCTCTCCAAACACCCAGGACGTCCCCTACCAATCTCTGTCGGGACACGCATTGTCGCCGAAAACAGTGACGGCGCTGCCAGCGAGGCCGAAGCTGCACGATCGATCATATTCGCGGCCGTGGACGCCGGGCCAAAATTAGCCCAGCCCACACCATCGATATTTTCAACAATCTTGTTCGCAGCGTGGAACATTTCGCTAACGTCCTTTGAACTGATCTCTACTGTATGGTTTGATATCTCCGATGGGGTGTGGTTGTCTGATTCTTCACCCGTAAGATTTTGGCTCGCCGCGGCAGGGGGGCCTGTAACTTTGGAGTCTGCTTTGTTCGGATTCCTGGAAGCAGAAGCGGGCAGGTCGAAGGTAGTCCAGGAAGTGTTCCTGTCGCCAAGCTCAAGGTATTTATTGCTGCGCAGAATCTTCTCGATTTCTAGGTTTATAATCGATACTTCGTACCACAACCTATGGCCTTCTACCATGTCCTCTGGATTTTCTGTTAGGGCACAAATGGTGGATTTGTCATACTCATGACCTCCGAAAAGAAGATTTTGCACCTCAGTGATTTGAAGAATTGGTCCCTGGATTTCTCGTGATGTTCTCGAACGACTGCAGCTGCCACTCAAAGTGTTGTTATTTTCACTGCTAGAGGAATGGGGGTTTGGGTGTTCAACAGAAGACTTTCGAGAAGACTTCCAAGCAGTGTTAATATGCAAAGGTCTAGTCTCATGCTTATGGAAGCCATGTCTAGTGGAACGCTTGACAAAAACGTTTGTGACGAGCAATGGCCCATCTTCAGGATTCTGAGTAAAAATCTCTAGCTCGGACTTGTCTGGCCGGATATACAGTTTGGCAATGAGATTTTGGATTGCTAGGTCGATTTCTTCATCGCCTCGAACATACTCAATTGCCCCTTTGACTACACCTCGCATATCCCAGGTGTGAGCAGCGCAGTGAACGCTTACCGAGCCAAGGATGCATTCCGATCTATTGACGACTGCTGTTCCGGATTCATCGACGGTGACCACCAAAGACTCATTATTCTTGGTTGAACAATGAAACTCATAGCAGACGCGGCGTGACAAGATTGCCTCTGAAAATATTTGGCATGGACTGTCTCCTTCACCGTCCAGTAAATCAACAATGTATTCGATATCTGCGCCCGACGTTGTCAGCCTGTCAGTGAATATTGTGCTTGGTGCGGTGAGGTTGTTCTTTGGTTGAAATATAACATTCCATGACCGGTTGTTAAAGATAAATTCTTTATATTTCGCCTCGATTGCCGCGGGATGGATTAAGATCAGACCCAACTGGATTTCTAGAGAAAGGCTTCCTGGAAAGGATCGAGCTCCATTCAAAACTAGGCCAATTTGCCGGAGGAAGTTATTAGTGGTTGCCATACATTTTTCAACTTCTTTAGCCTGCTGGACAGTTTTACATTCACTTTTTTGCTGAATGGATTTGGCAAAAGGGCGGCGGCAATCGAAAGTCATTGCTCTCGACATATCAGACACGTCCCAACTCTCCGCAATTTTAGTTTTCTTTTCCAAGTTACTCATGCCCCCTTGACACATTCGAATGTTATTCCCAGCTTGTTTGTTCATGGTGTAATGGACAGTACAACCCTTCTCAACTGAACATCCAGGTCTACAGTCTTCCGATTCCGGGCCTGCTTGTGTTGGCTTTAAAATAGACTGTAAGTATGCCATGGGCGGTATCGTTGCTGTTGGCATCTCCGGGGTTTCATCCATATCAATAAGTTGGGCCGATCCTCGCTTCGCAGCTGGCTTGGGGCTTAACTTAAGCTTAGAGGTCGTTTCTTGGAGGCCTCTTGTGGAAGTGTAATATTCCGACTGTTCGTCGGCGCACTCATTAAAATTCGCAGGCAGCTGGAGCTTCTGTTGGGCAGAAGCAACTTCGTTGGCTTCATCAGGTTCCGAGAGCGGATGGGGCTTTGAAGTTTCGATTGGTCCGGAACTATGCCCCTTTGTATCGATGACGATGGCCCTGCGCCTCTTAATCCCTGGAGGAAGACTTGGCAGAACAGGTTCAGCAGAAGGGTTTGGAAGAAGTATGCTGTTTGGTTCGAGAACGCCGACACCGACTACCCCAGCCTCAACTCCCGCAGCAACCCATTTGTTGACACGAGAGACCTTTTCCTGGGTCAAGAAAGGATGCCTCTCAACAGGGATGGCTACTTGCTGAACAGCCACATGGGAGCTGTGGTTGTCCAACTGACTTTGCTGAGTTGGTTTGGCTGTCTGGACAGTCAAACAAACAAATTGTGGGATATTTGACGCATTTCCCAGGCCTCGGAACTTGAAATTGGCCCATAGTTTTGACAGTCCCTTTGTGGGTATCGTTGGGCATGGAGGCTCTATGATGTTGACAGGGAAGTGCCTTTCACGATTTTTCCGGTTTACTGGCACAATGACGGTTGCAAGCATTCTGCATAGCCTACCTACTTCTTTCCTTCCCGGGTCGACGAGGATACGGTTAATCGCCTGGGAGTTTAGCTCCGAGTAGACAGGGAGCGTGAGGTGATATTCTAGCCCCGGGGAGACATTCAGAACGTGTGCGATATGAGGGGTAATTGAAAAAGACTGGCAGAAATAACTAGGTATCAGCATTGGTGGCACCATAGAAGGGGAAGCATGGAATAAAAGGCAAAGAATGATGATCAACGAGAGGAGCTGGGAAGGAGGATAAATAAAAGAAAGTTGCGGCTACCTGGCAACCAGCCCAGAGCAACGCCAATAGCACATCCAACATGGCGTGAACCGGTTCCGGAACCGCAGACAAAGAACACTTACAAGGGAAGTTTGAAGACTCAAGAGCCGGTTTAGAGCATCTTTGACCTGGATGGTGAGGTAGCTGGATACGCGGAGTCTCCTATCAGACTCTTCAAGAGCAACGTCCGCTCCGGACAATCTTGAAACTTCGTTGATGGCATATGGAAATTTTTCAAAGACCCCGACAGTTCCAGTTTCCGATTGCCAGTACTCAATGGTAAACGGGACCTTGGTACAATCACTAATTTGAGCTATATCGATAAGGGTTCCTTTGGTCTCCGCATTTGTATCATCAGCATAATGATTTTCGCTCTGGGTGTTTAGCGGTCCTAAACGGGAAATCCTCGAAATCTGTATGGAAAGGTGAGAGATTCCTATAAGTTACTCATATGTAACTGACCAAGAAACATAATATTATTTAGGTGGCCTTACCTTCAGCATGTCATTAGCCCTCTCATCATCAATGTATTTTGCAACCAAGTTGCTCAGTTTGGGAGCAGATCCAGTAACATCACAGTTATCCACAACAAAAACCTATTCGAACAAAACAGGAGAGTAGATTAGCAAACGAACAGACATATCTGAAACTCTCCAAAGTCCTCGCAAGGAGATAATTTACTCACATTTTCAGCAGGCTTATATTTGCAGAACCCAGAGCCAGTATTGGCAGTTTCCCTTAACGATTGACGGCATTTAGTATACAACTGCTAATAATAGTATGATAAAAGAAACTCGTTGGGGTAGGGGCCATTATGATAACTAACGTGAAAAGCTTCCTAATATCTTCAGCCTGACGGCGTTGAATATGAGTCGTCAGTTGGAAATCCATACGATAGAAGGGGAGCAAGATGTCAACGTACCGCGTCCTTGTCAAATTTCCAGATAGTAGCCACAGTCAATGTTTTTGGATCTTCCATGTTGGGATATCTTCGTTTTCGATATGCAGAATGCGGAAAGGGAGAGAGTTTCACTAAAAGAGCAGTAGATGGAGTTAGGGGTTCAAATAAAGTTATACGATGATGTTCAACAACTCTGCCTCAGGGGTATGGTAATCAGAATGCGACCCACGAAGCAAATTCGTCTCTTTGAAGCCAGATATTCTGACTGATGGAACTTGAATATAAACAAATAAAAGTAACAAGCAGTGTGAAGCAGACTCGAGGTAATAATACACGTTTAAACCTTGATGTAAACAAACAAAAATGGATAGATCAATAAGACCTCAAGAGGAAAGTGAGGGGTACAGACAGCGTTGATTCACAGACGCTAATACACTTTCACTGAAAGTGGATTGTCTATCGTTCAATGATCTTCTTCACTCTTACTTCGTAACGGTGGAAAAGCAGATGGGAGAGCCGGGGGTAGAAGCTGGGGGAGATATCGAAGCCAAAGTTGATTCAGCAGATTGCTACCTTAAACAAGGGACTTCAAAGGCCTTAAAACAATTCCAAGCCTCGAATGAGGGAAGCCTGCTAGAGCCCCAGTGTGGGATAGCTAGAGTCTCCAAGAGTGTTTGTCGAAAGGTTTTGGATAGGTTGTATGAGCTATGAGAGAGCTGACTGGCGCGCGGAGGACAGGCCAACCAGTAGGCAAACAGGACAGTAAAGGCACTATCGCGTCGAAGGAGCAGAGATTAAAGAAGGCAGCCAAAATCAGAAATAGTTATAGGTAGAACAGCAGCAAGGAACCAAGGGGAGCTCTTATTCCTTTCTTCACTCACTTATTTGTCCGCTAGGATTGGTTGATGAAACAGTGGAATGTTAGTTAGTCGAGAAGAAAGAGAAAGAGAAAGAAAAAGAAGAAAACAAAACAATCAGCACATCCAGGGATTACTCCACTGATTTTTGATGTTAGTTAGTCAATCAGTTGTGTCCTGATAATGTAAGCAATGCGGCCAGATGCTGAAATGCCGTTCACCATCTCAATGCAGTGTATGAGAATCTATGCGGCTGTGTTTCTCACTCCAAGTTTCAGTTCAATACTGAGAAAGAGCCGCAGTATATGAAGAGGACTTTTGTGATGCTTTCTGACTGGGAGCTGCTCTTATAAAAATATATGTATGTACATACATACATACATAAATGTATGAAAAAGCTTGGGATGCAGCTGAGGGGTCCAAAGGAGTATTTATGCTCATGGAATATGCGGATATAAAATATTTGGCAGAGCAATTAGAGGATGTAGTTGACTGCATTCCTCACTCCTCCCCGAGTCCAACAAAAAGAACAAAAAGAAGGCAGAAGCAACGTGGCTAAAACCTGGAATGCCCTTAGCTGGTTCTTATCTTATCATTGCTGTAAGAACGGGCATCTGCAAAGTCAGGCTGATTTGGTGGAATAGGAATGTATTAAAAACACTGTAGAAGAAAGTAGAGAATATTTTGCAAGTAGAAGAAGGGGAGGGAAATTATAAACGATCTGCGAAGAAAACTAGGGCCCTACAATTACATGCCCGGATATTAAACCAATTAGAAAAAGGCCCGTATTACCATAGTAGAAGAAGGGAATGAAAGAAAATAAGGCAATCCATTAGCAAACGCCATGTCCGTCTAAAAGAAGGTGCTCAAGAAGGAAAAAAGGAATTTAAAAAGATATATGCAACCAATACAAACGGAAAGCTGACTCCGTAAGGTGTTAAGTAAAGAAGGTAAGAAAAATAAGAATGAAAACAGACAACAAAGAAATTTGCCACTTCTTAAATGAGAAATTAAGAAGAAATGGAAAGGCCATGATAATTGACAAGACAACCTCCCATCCCGTGTTACCTTGAGTTTCATGTAACCTGCGCAGGATTGTCTGAAAATAAAAAGGGAAAGAAAAACGAGAAAAGTCGATAAAAGAAAGAAAAGAAAAGAAAGCATGTATCTTTTCTGGAAATGCGAAATTGCTTCTCTTTTTAGTAGACTCTTTGCAATGCCGTCTCGTATTAAGTGCGCTGTATTAACGCAGAGGTATGTGTATGTATGGTGTGGCATGAGGATGCACGGAACGTAAAAGCGTTTGATCGTTAGAGGTTGCGTTTCTTCTTTGTGTGTATAGTCAAATGTGGCATGGACAGGTACAGTACATATACAGTACATGCATGGAGCCAGCGGTAGATGGTAAGCAATACGATCGCGGGTGTGTATAAGGGAGAAAGAAGGGAAACGATATTGAGCGCGTCTGATATTCCTGGAGGGTGGACATGAGATGGATATATATCTTTCGTCTCGCCGGAAATGCCAGTTAATCTGGGCTTTTTCTCCCCTCCATATCTCTCCATCGATCTCTAAAACTCAGAGAGGTGTACATCAAGGTCATAGGACCAGCACAATTGGCATCCATGGATTGAATTGAGCTGATTTGACAGCACTTTTCCAGATTTTTCTGGCTTCCACCTTAAAGATGGAAAGGGATAGGGGTAGACCGGATTCAAAGACAGTTCGCTCTTGCGCTGTAACTGTACAACAAACTCACTCTCACATCATAATCGTATATCGGGTATCAAATATCAAATGTCGAGTATTGTAGATCGGGATTTGCGAGTTGCGGACTGGGTATCTCTCAGAAAAATGACAAAAAAGTGAAAAGAAAAGAAAATGAAAAATAAAAAAATGAACAAGAAACGCGTCAATCAACACACATATCTGCGTCTGCACCTCAACCTCCATCCCCCTCGCCATCACTCCGCCCCCCTAACCTCTTCCTTAACTTTAATAACCCACCTCATCCTCCCCGTTACCTCCCTCACCTGCTCAACCACATCATCAATAACAGCATTATTAAGCTTACTCCGCTCCACCAACTCCCCAAACCGCCTGATCACTCGCCTCCTTATACTCCGCAAACAGCCTCTCAAACCTCTCCATCCGCTCCCTCTCAGCCTCAATCTCCCTATTCTTCTGCTCGATAATCACATCAAAGCGCGTCAGCTGCC